GAAAAAGAGACGTGTAATATGGTTTTGTTGGTTATATTGATACTCAAATTTGATGTCAGATCCTTGTAATTCGTAAAGAAGAGCTTGGACTGGTGTTCGACCATCAAGCCTTTTTTGACGGATAGATTGCATTGTGTTGTAGACTGTTTTTAATATAACCATCGAAGATGGATTATTTTGATGTATAGTTGCTAAAATTTGACGAAGACGGGAACCAGCAGCAGCCATTTGCTTAACCAGATCTTTTTGCTCAGTGTTCAACCTTCGAACAATCGGATAGCCAGATATATCTATTGATGCTTCATGGTTGTGTTTAGAGTTTCTTATCTCAAGATACCAAATATTATCACGTCTAGATCCAAAAAGCTCAAATAGGCAATTCACAAGTCTTGAAGCTGTTTTTCTACGGCGTGAATCATCTGTCAAATTTAATTTATTCCTATAGAGACCGCTTCTGTCGCAGCCTAATATTATATTTTTTATTTCACCTTTTCTATCTGATCATGATCTTTTTATAGATATAGTGTATCCTTGAGTTTTAAAGTAGGCTCGAACATATTCAAGAAGCTCGTTATGACTTGCAAATTGACTAGGTGGAGGTGGATACATATGTTAATATGTGGTAAAAATAGAATCTATAGTGTATATTATTGAAAAGTTTTAATAAGTTAATACGATTATTAATCAAAACGTCTTTTTTTTTTTTTTTTTTTTCTTTTACTTTGTTTTTATAGTTTCACTAACCAGTTTGTTTTTTTTTTTTAGTTTTGCTAACCAGTTTTTATTCTTATGAAATTAATAAAGTAGGTTATGTTCCAATTTTAAGAGCGAAAAAGTAGAATAGAGAAGCACGTTTGTTGTGTGATCACATGTTGTATTTATTTGTCAAATTTATTACATCATTATTTTGACTATCATAGCGGAGCTTGAAATGTATTGAAACACTTTAGTGCAGATCGCTAGTGCAATTTTACTATACTTTGTTGAATGTAAAATTTAACATATGATGGTCAGTTTGGAAATACAAGTATTTAAACAAGGCTTACGCAAGTTATAATATTTCTTTATATTTTTTTTTTATTAAACAAATTAAATATTTTACTGTCTCTGCAAAAATAAATAATATCAGATTCAACGCTAGTATTTGTAGTTGACCCAAATTTTTTTATATATCTTATATTTGAATGACTAGTTTTCCGAAATCATCCGACTATTTACTAAAAATCTGCTGAAGGGGAAAATTCTAGTGGACAATTATTTACTGTTGGAGTTCGCTATCACGATTGCATAGGAATTCCTAAATTCTAGTAGGTAACTATATACAGGATTATGTTATGATGAAGACATGGGTCAATAGAAAGTGCGATGTACTATGTAAATTAAAACTATATGTGGTATCAGATAAAAATCTGTTAATAAATATTTTGATTTTATATATATACTATAAT